TTTCTAATATTTCCATTATTTCTTTCTGCATTAATGTTTTTGACTTCTAACCATTCTTCTATATTCTGTAACTAGAGATCACTTTTTATTTCAATATGTCTTCTATCTGATACCTGCTTATTTTTGTTCTAGCTTTCCTCATCCATAGTGTCTTCATCTCCTAACTGCTCTTCTGCATCTTGTATTTGAAAGTCACTTCTTTTTCCTGTATATCTTCTGTTTAGATTTCAGCTAGTTCTTTTCTAGCTTCTTTCTCTTCTTTCTTTAACTCTTTCTTCTTTTCTTATTTCTTTCTTCTTTTTATTTAGTCAGGATACTTGAAAATTATTGTATCTAATTGGCTTTGATTGAGCTGCCTTTATCTCTTTTTCTGTTACAAATATAATTATTGCTGTTCTTCTTTAATTCTTATTTCTGTTTGGTAGAAGTATACCAATTTTGCATCTTTGCTTCTTAGACAGTATAGTAGCAAAACTTCTAAGACCTTGCTTGACAGATCTGTTATTTTTGCTATATACTAACTTTGCCTTTGTCTTGCTTTGTAATTTTCTTTACTTTTTGTTATTTTTATCAGTTTGTTACTGTTAACTGGTATAGACCATGGTATGTTTCCTTCTTCTGATTCTTCTACTTGGACTATCATGAAGGACTTGTATTTGAATCTCTTGAATCTTCTGCACATATATTTAATCTCTTTTCTGTTTATGTTTGCTGGTAGATTTCAAATTGTTATCTATTTATGTTTTTGTGTTTTTTCTTCTTTTTCTGTATTTATTTGATCTTCTGTAGATTTTTTTCTACTTTTTTGCTCTTCATATTCTTTCTTTTTAAATTTTAATATGTTGTTTTTTTCTTTCTGGTATTTTTTGTCATATATTTCCTCCTTTTTTTTTTTGTCTATTTTTCCTTCTTCTGCAATTATTTTGTACCAGTTACTTTCTTTTTTGCTAATTCTTTGTATTGCCTCACTTCTGCTATACTCACAGTCAAAGTCTATCTCTATTTATAGATTTCCTCTTTTAAAAACTTCTTCAATATTTTTGACATGCTTATTATTTTTTAATGACTATTTGATAAAGTTCATGTGTTCATCTTTAGTTTTCTCTGATACATTATGTGTATATATGTTTGCAAGTAGGCTGTTGCTTTGATTACAGTCTTTTTTGCTTGGTGCCTACATGCTTTCTTCAAGTAGTACTTCAAATACATCAATTTCTCTTTCGATTTCTTGTTTTCTTCCTTTTTTCCTTTCCTTTTCTTCTGTTATTGATCCTTGTTTTGATTCTTTTTTATCTATTTTATGTCTTCTTGTTCTTGATTTCTTCTTTGTTCTTCTTCTTTTTCTTCACAAGAGGATGATGGTTGGTTTCTACTTGGTTATTACTTGTTTGTCCTACCTGTATACTTACTTTTTTCCTTGCAATCTCCATACTTACTTGTAGACTTTTGTTGACTTTTTTATTCTTTTTTTTCTTTTCCTTGTCTCTTCTTTTGACACTTTTTGTCTTTTTTTTATCTTGTTTGTCTGTTATTGTTTTTCTTTCTTTTCTGTACTTATTTTATCTTGATGTTGTTCTACAAAATCAAGCTTCTTTCCAGTTTGTTCTTTTTTTGCTTTGTCTAATATCTCTCTTATTATTCACAGAAGTGCTACTTCATTTGGGTTTTGTTTTGTGAGTGCTGCAATAATATTATTTTCTTTACTTGGTATTGCATATGCCTACTTGCTTTATTGAAGAAAATTTTATTATGCACACTGTTCATAGCCTTATATGCCCTTTTTGTAAAAATTGCATTAAGGCTTTCTCTGTATTCATCTGACAAATTTTTGTTTATATTGTACAGCTGTTTCTATATACTTCTATATCACATATTGTATCTATACTAAACTGGTTTGATGTACATATTTGTTTGTTTACTTTGCCAATTATATTGTGACTTCTTGTGTAACTTAAAGAACTACAATTTAGGGTATTGGCAGTTCCCCACTTTTTCAAAAGAATTTTCTACTTTTTATCAAAATTCTCTATATGCTGTTCTCTGCTGTTGCTCTAGTTCCTCTTCTGTATTCTTCTATTAAACTATATACAACTTTTGCTATTTTGTCTTTCTTGTTAGTACCTCAAGTTTTGTTTCCTAGTCTAGTTGTTGAGTTTTCCTATGTTTTCTTTCCTAGAATTTTTGGTCAAAAGATCTACAGGAGAAAGTTGTTTTTTTCCTTTTTTGGCAATATTATTATTAATTTGTTATCTTATTTCTTTAGTATTTTTTATATTACAAGTATAATATAAAGATTTTTATTTAGCTTTAGTAAGCATTAACCAGTTTGACAATAGATTATATTTAACTAAAAAAGATGTAATATTAAAATAATTAAATATATTTATTTGATTAATAAGATAATTATATTGATATAATATAAATGTTAAGTTTTTTAGTAAGTATTTAGTTTGTTTAATAATATTGTTTAATTTTTTAAGATATTAGTATAAAGATAATGCCTTTGTAAAGAAGATATTTTAAAAGTTTTTAACAGTAAATTTTTTGTTTAAAATATATTATATAGCAGTACAGATAACATTGTTTTGAATTTTATATTATGAAGATTCTAGTAATTCAGAGGTTTGTATAGTAATATTTTATTATTACTAAAATTTGAGGTTACTTAGTTTGCAAACTGCTGCTATGTATCTTTATTTATATTTTTGTATAAAAATGTTCTTTTATAACTTTTGGTAGAATATTTGAGTTTGTCTATATATATATAAAAAAAAAACCAAAATAAGTTTAAAATTTTATAATTACTTTGTATACTAATATTAAAATCATCTATAGTAAAAATATTAAGATAGTAAAGAAAGATTGGTTAGTTCAAATATAATTAATACTATTTAATATCTGTTGCTTTGCTAAGTAAATAATAAACTTTAGATATATGTAACCAGATTATATATATTATTATATTAAAAATAATAAAGCAATTTATATTTACTAGATGAAAATTAGGTGCTACTATTAGAGACATTAAAATCTTTAAAATAATAAGTTAAGTATTTAATGTATAGGTTTGTTGAAGCCATTGTAATGCAATATTTAGTACTAATAGTTTTAGTTAAGTGTTGTTATATAGTAGATAGATTAAAATAATTTTAAATTTAAAATTATGTTTAAAGAAAAGATCAACTGCAATAGCATAACTTAAAAAGAAAAGTAATTTGTAAATATGAGTTTTTATAACTTGTGAATTATAATAGTTATGTCTGCTTTAAGGCTTTTAGTACATAACTACAAATATGTAAAATGTTTAGATTATTATAGTTTAGTAATTAGATTATTAGCTATAATTTTAATTTTTGTTATATTAATTATACTAAGATTATTGAAAAGATAATAGTTTTTTTATATTTGTTGTTTAAATTTTTATTAAGTTCTTAAATATTATATATACTAATTAATAAACAAAGTTGGTTAGTATTAGTCTAAGCTTTAAAGATAACAGAATTTGAGAAATAATAATTTTTAGATTCTAATATTAATTGATTTTAAAATATTGAAATAGGTAAATAATTATAAGTATTTTATTAAATAGAGTTTATAACTTTATAATCAAAAATAATAGTATCTGTAATTTTAGTATAAATATAAATTTTTTTTTCTCTTAAGTAGTTATGCTAGTACTTTATTAAAATTTTGAAATTATATTTGCAATTATATAAATATCCTTAACCACTAAGTCTAGCATCACCTAGTCACTTTAATAGTACCTAAATACAACTTGCTGCATTACTTTAAATAAAAGTAAGTTGCTCATCTGACTATTTAAAATCTATAATAAAAAGGTCTTCTCTCTTCATAACAAGCTCTAAAATTGTCTTCTGTGCTTCTTTTTCAATTTTTTATTTTTTTTTTATTTTTTATTTTTTTTTTCTATCCTTTGCTAATTTGGTTTTCTTTTTTACTTAGTGTTTTTTTTTTTTTCTTTTTATTTTACCTATTATTTTTTTATTTTTCTTCTATTTATTGATCTTTTCACATCAGATTCTTTATACTTGTTTATAAAATATATTTCAAGCCATTCTTGCTATAGTGCAGAACACCTAAAGACAGAATTAAAATTGAGTATCTTTAAAATATAATCCAAAATTATACTTAAGTAATACAAAAAAAAAAAACTACTATTTTGTAGTCAAACCAGTTTATTACAAAATAGTAAACTTTTTTTTAGAAATACAATTACTAATTATCAAGATATATTCATTTAAAAAAGTTGTACTTTCATATGATCAGCACAAAATGAAACAAATAATGTGATTGTGATTGACTAATAAAATGTCTGTTTGCTTTTAATTAGCTAACAATTGATCACAGGTTTATGCAGAATTAGATAATAAAATTACAGTAGAGACCATTACTGTTATACGTATATTAAAACTGGTGAAGGATTATATCTGTCACAATTGAATCTAACATAAATAATTTAATCTGTGATTGATCACAGATGAGAGGAATTCACTTTGGATCAGCACTGTCTTTGTTAAATAATAAGATATAGCAAAAAAAAAAATTTTCACAAAAAGTGATTAATAATAAGTTGTGACACAGATTGTAATAATATATTAGTATGTTACTAATTTAAGTCTAATAGACTACAAATTAGAATATATAGAGGTAAAAGCATAATAATAAAAGTTACTTTCTTTTCTTCTTTAGTAATAAAATAAGCTGTAGCCAATTAATGAAGATTCATTATTGCTCATGTCTTACCTTATAATCATTTGAGTGGTAAGAATATTGTTGATAATGTGTGTTGAGATACATGGTATATCAAATGTGCACAAATCTTCTAAGTCTTTATAGAAACAAACCTATTACTAACCCACATGACAGTTTGCAAGATCATTTAGGATTAAAGTTTTGCTATACTTTATTATTATAAACTTTTATTAAATCCACTTCTTTCAAAAGAAAAAAAAAAAAAATTTTTTTAAAAAAATTGTAATATGCCCAAGAGAAAAAAGTATGCTAAACTTCATGAATATAATAATAAAAGGAAGAAGGTTGTTCAGAAAAGATGGGAGAAAGTGAATATGTTAGAAAAAGAGAAGGATTATGTTGAAGAACAAAATTCAGAGAAATATAATGATTAGAAGGAGAATAAAGAGATAGATGAAGAAGAAAGAATGTGAATGCATTTACCTACAATACCATTCACATAGAAAAAAACCTCCACAATAAAGAGTTTTCTCAAATTAACCTACTATCATATGTTTGGTGCTTCTGGCATACTTACCAATACTGCTAAAGGAACTCCCAAAATTACCAGGTTTTTTGGGCCTTCAACAACTGCATCACCAATATATTTGGTATTACAATCAGTACCCCTAGTGTATTCAGTTTTGACCAAATTGAATAATGAGAATGAAAGTAAAAATAGTAGTAATAGTAAAAGTGAGAATAGTGATGATAATGAAAGTGAGAATAGTGGTAATAATGAAAGGGAGAATAGTGGTGATAATAGAGATGACAATGGTAATGAATAAGCACATTTTGAATTTGATGATGTAATTGCTTAGCTTTAGGAAAATCTTCTAAAAAATGAAAAGACATTCAGTGCTTTTGAATATAATGAATGACATGCTGTTTATGAATACTTCATAAGGCTATATGATGGCCATGAAAAGTTAAAAGCAAGCCAAACTGCAACAAACATAGTTTATATTAATTCAAACCTATATAAATCTAAAAAGATCTGGTTTCTTGATAATTTTTATTTATATTATGAATTGTTTCTGTTTTCTAGTCATGGCTAATATCAAAAATACAAACAATTAATTGATAATGAAAATGTGACACTAAAATGTAGACAGTGGATACAGGAAGAATTAGAGGTAAATGGTATTAGTACATCCTGGTTTAAACAATATGTTGATTCTGCTATTTTGCCTGCATATATAGAAGAAACAAGGATATCAATTAGCTTGAGAACAGCTAAAAGATGGTTAAATGTTTTAGGTTGTTGATTTAAAAAATACCAGAAGGGTATGTACTTTAATGAACATGAATGGAGAGATGTTGTTAAATATCAGAATAAGTTTTTAGAAAGAATGCAGGTCTTAGAGCAACAGATGGTAATATATGAAGAAAAAATATAGAATCTGTTCTACCAATGCTTAGGGAGGGTAAGCAAGAGCTGATGTTGGTCAGTTACAATAAGTGTATTTTCTATATGAATGATGCAAAAAAAAGAATCTGAGTGTATGATGGAATGATGCTACTACGCAAAAAAAGAAATAGCAAGTCGATAATGGTTAGTGAATTTATTTTGAAGGCATGTGGCCAATTGCAGCTAAGTGAGAATGAACAAAAAAACTATTCTAATGTTTCTGCAGAAGTGCACTGTTATCTTATATCTGATAAAAATGATAAGGATTACTAGACAATTGAGTATTTATTAAAACAAATTAAGAAAAAGGCTATTTCTATTTTTGAAGCAAAGTTTTCTGGTGCAATGGCTGTCTTTGTTTTTGATAACAGATGAATCATGCAGCATTTGCAGAAGATGCCCTTATAGTACAAAGAATAAACAAAAAGCCTAGAGGGAAGCAAAGTATTATGTGGACAACAACTTTTATTGATATTAATGGCCAATGTAAAGAGCAGAAAATGGTATTTGGAAACAATTACCCAGATTCTGATATGAAAGGAAAGCCAAAAGGAATAAAGAAAATGTTAGAAGAAAGAAAACTTTGGAAAACTGAATTAAACTTAGATTGTAAAAAGTGTAAAAAAAAGAAGGATTTAGGTCGAATAGACTGTTGCTTGAAAAAAATTATGGCCTCTCAACCAGATTTTGTTAGTCAAAAATCCACTATAGTAGAATTAATCAAAGGTGCCAGTCATATTTGTATTTTTTATCTGAAGTTCTATTGCAAACTTAATTTTATTAAAAGATATTAAGGTGCAGCTAAAAAATATGCAAAAAATTATTGTGATTATACATTGACTGGCTTGCAAAAAATTGTTCTACAAGCACTTGAGTTGATAGATATCATTATAATTAGGAAGTTTGTTTGCAATGTATAAAGATATATGGAGTTATACTGTAAAGAATTAACTAAAAAGTTAGCAAAATATGCGTGTAAAAAATTCAAGTCACATATAAGAGTTTCTCAAGATGAATTGAGTTCATTTATACAAGAGAATGGGGTGAATTCAATAAATAAAATTTAATATAAGATTAAAGAAAAAAAAATAAAAAATTTAAGCATGATTAAATAAATAAATAATGATAAATAAAAATTAAATTGAAAAATTAAAGTGTGATTAAAAATAAATAAATAATAATAAATAAATAAATATTAAATAAGTGAAATAAAATTTAATATATGTAATTAAAAATAAAATAAAATAATCAATTTTAATAATCTTGTATAAAAAATACAATCAGATCAAAACAGCATAGCAAGCTTTATTCTAATTAGCTCAATTTTTGTAGAGTTCAAAGTTAAAAAAAAATAAATTATTAATTGACATTTTTAAACAGTAAATTTTAATTTACAACAATAATTTTTAATACATTGACCTGTCTTAATATATATAAGTTATCTTTATTAACCAAATCACTTACTAACTAATATATAGTTTAATAACAAGACAACAAGATAAATAATAAATAATATAAATTAAATAAAAAGAATCATCAAATATCGATAAGTGTAATACATGCTTATGAAGGGTATAGACAATATAAAAACCAAACTAACTATAGAACAAAGCATATAATTATACATGTCTTACATATACCTTATATTTAATATGTTGTAAACTTATTCGAATAATCCTATATTCAAAAAAAGCTAAGTATTATTGAATCGCTATTTTTCAAGCTTAAAAAAAAATATCTAAAACTTATTAATCAAGGTGTGTTTTATCTTACTCTAATTACTGAATTATCTTGATCTATAAAACAAAAAGTGCACCTGTCATTAACTCTTGGATTATTCAACCTTTTTTTGGATTATTTTAATATGTTATAGAGCATAAAGTGTAATCTCTGAATTTATATACCATGCCCTTTACCAATTCATTTCTTAGTCGAATAACTCTATATTTAAAAAAAGCTAAGTATTATTGAATTGCTATTTTTTAAGCTTAAAAAAAATGTCTAAAACTTATTAATCAAGGTGTGTCTTATCTTACTCTAATTACTAGATTACCTTGATCTATAAAATAAAAAGTGCACTCTGTTACTAATCACTGAATTATTTAACCTTTTTTTAGATTATTTTAATGTTATAAAGTGTGAAGTATAATATCTAAATTTATATACTATGTTCTTTACCAATATTTCATCGATTGATCAATCAGAATTAAGCTACTATGCTAGTTCAAACTCTATTTTGCTATTGTTATATAATTTGCATTTTGCTTATGTGAAAACCAGTTTTTTAAGCAATTTGAGACTTTTTTAAATTTTAAGGTAAAATGGAACAAGTTATGTAACTTCTACCTTTAGGTGGCTTGCATCATATTACATTTATAAACTGCTATTTTGATTTTGTGTTTAGAAGCTGTCTCAATCTGTTTTGTAATTCTTTTGAAATAAGACCTTTAATTAGTACTCTTTTATTTTTACTTTCTTTGTTTCTGCTTTTTCAAAGAGCATTGTATATAACACATATGAAAAGACCTGAACTTTTTTTTCTTTTTTTAGCTTCTTCTATGCTATTGCAATAGTCACTTTCTGAATTCTTTTTTAAAGATTCTTTTGTCCTTATATATTGCCAAATATGTCTGTATTCTTTTAATTTATCTTGACAAATTTGGCATTCTGTTGTTATATATATATTTGGTTTTCTTCTGTTAAGTTCTTCTAATATTAGAAATTTGTCTATTATATACTTTATAAATATACTTTTTCTAGCACTATTTCTTTTTGTTATATAGTATACTTCTTTAGTTATCTTTAGTTTTTTTAAAAATATGTTCAATTATAAATCATAATTTCTAATTCTGGTTTTAGTTCTTTAATTGCTTTTGTTTCTTTTTATTTTGTACCTAATATTGCATTTGTTATTAACTTGTAAAGCAATCTTGCTAATATGTTAGTATATTTATTTTTTTACTCTAAACAGTACTTTATCTTTTCAAACTGACTTTTTTAATCTGTATTATTCTTTTACTTGTTGCATTTTTTTTCATTAGACTATTAGCTTTATCATTTTATTTGTCTTTAATATAGCTTTTAATTTTAAAAAACTCTATTTGAATATTTTTTATCATAATATAATTTCTAATTTTCATTACCAATATTGCATTTTTCTTCTTGAGAATCTTATTTTTGTCTGCTTATTCTAAACCTTTATTAATGTTTCTTATTGCAACATTGCTATTTGTATATATTTTTATTTACTTTCCTTTAGTATTGTTAAGATTGCTGTCTATATTGCTACTAACTTTGCTATTGTCAATGTTTGTCATCTTTCTAGACTTAGTGTTAACTCTTCTTTTGATCATTCTTGTGTTTAATCTGTTTATACCTACTCTATACCCATACTATTTTTAATTTTTGTATTTTTTTTAATCAAAACTTTTATTATTTTATAACTAATGTTTTTTTTAAAATTTTGTTGTTTAATTATCTCTATTTCTAGATCTTTTATTATTTTTAGTTTTTCAAGTTTCTGTTTTCCAATCATTAGTTATTTGCCTTTATTGTTTCTGTTATTTGGTCTATTGTTATCTTGATTTTATTACTGCCTTTTTTTATTAATGCATCTGGAATTATATTAATTCTGTTGTTTATCTATACTACTAAAATTTTAATTTCTGTATGACCGTCTGTGTGTTTTAAATGATTTGATTGGTTAGATTTATTTCAGATCAGTCACATGCTATAAACAAATAAACAATATACATGTTTGAAATAACACATATTAATAAATTATTTAGTCTTTTTTAACCTTCAAAGCATTATAATTTTTTATAAAACCAAAATTTTAAAAATCTGACCATTAACTTTGTTTAAAATATTGCCTCTATAAAAGTTAATACATTTTAAAGTTATGCTTTTTTATTTTCAAATCTAGGCTTCCAGCACATATATAGTAAAAAAAACAACTAGGCACAAAATTTTTTTATTTAAAATTATATGTTTCTTAACATGCAACCAATTTTATATACATTTATTTATTATAAACAGTATTGATGTACCTTTTTATAATGTACTATTTATATAGTATTAGTTTCTACTTACTGTTTATATTGTACTAAATCATTGGCATAGCCATGATCAATTTTTACAGCAGTTTAAACAATAGACATTAAGCTGATCTTAATGTTCAAAAAAAAAAAATTTAATACATAATATTAATTGCAATTAATATTTTATCATCTAACCTGTTTTAATTATTTTTTTATCATTTTAAATTTTAAGCATCTTATAATAAAATTTAATTGCACATGCAACTTATTTCTACTTTCAATTTAGTAAAGTACATAAAAGTACTATATCAGTTTTAAATTCATGACTACTATTAGAGTGTTCAGGATTATACAATACAATAAGGTAAATTATACAATGAATACAAAATAATTTAAAATAATGTGAAATATTTAAATAAAAGATGCAATTTTTAATAAAGGATGCAATTTATTTTATATATAATTTTATTTTAAGATAATTTTATTTTAAGATTTACAATCCATTCCATGATCTCAAAGCACATCTAATTAGTAATTTTCTATAACTTAAGAACATACATGAGTGTTGTCAAGAGAAAACCAAAATATGGACTTTCAATTATATTTCATACTGGACACAATTTATTTATTTATTAGTGATTGTGTCTGATACAAAATATAATTGAAAGCCCAAATTCTGGTTTTTTTTTTGGCAACTTTTATATATAATTAGTAATCTGTGATTTAAAAAAATAAAATTTAAAAAAAAATCAAAAAAGAAATACTATAATTTACTATTGCTATAGCAGATCAATCATGCTAAAAAATTTTGCCCATTACACAATGGCTCTCAATATAACAGACCATTGATATAATAGATATTGCTTAATACAAAAATTTATAATGAAACCAAATTACTATTAATAAAATTATTTAATATAAGATTTTGATATTATGGAGATTTGGATATAACAGAGCAAAAGATGGAACCATGACTTTGTTATATTGAGAGTAAAGCTGTAAACCAAACTATTTGGGACAGCTCAAACCAAATGACAATTAGTATTGCACTAGGTATTTACAACTTTTTACCTATTGTCAAATCTATGTAAAACTAATTGTCATATAGTTTGGGTCATCCCAAATAGTTTGGTTTATAGCCCTAATCGAGAGCCACTATATATAATAAATACCTAATAAATAAATAAACAAGTATCTTCGTAATCTAATTTAATAGTGTTAAAAATTAATTACATATTCTTAATATAACAAAATTATTAATTACAAACTTCATCTTTTAAATACTTAATTATAACACATGAATTAAAGATTTATTCAAACTTAAGAAGTCTTAATCAAATAATCATGTCTTAATATAAAGTCTTTTTCTATTGTAAGATCTAAAAATATAGTATGAATCATTAGTGTTAAACTTTTTGTATTATAACAATGCACATAAAATTATGTCAATTTAAAAAATATATTCTATAAAAATATAATGCTATCGATCATACATAGCAGAATAATAGATAATCTGAAATGCAATTTTAAGTTAAAGTTTTTTTTATATTTTTGCAATCATCGAATTGCTTACTTTTCACATATATATACCAATAACATGTCAGTATTATGTCAGATCGACCAATGTAAATTATTACGTCTATAATTTTGAATCTCTTTTCTTGCATCTATAACATATCAAATACAATAAAACAAAAACAAAAAGATGCTAACACTGCTCAAATGTGCAAGAAAAGAGCTGCAGAGACTAATGAGCAAATAAACCAGTGATGCCAACATGATGCTAATGCTCATTGACACTGTTACATAGAGGAACATGAAGAGCAACATCTGAATTGACATCAACAGAGTATCACTACTGAATGCCAATGATATGCTAAAGCAACTGAAGACCAAAATCACAATTGGAATCATCAAGATGCTAAAGCTCACTGCCAACAATGTATCAACAACTCTTGGCTATACAATTTCACCTATAGTTTTTCAGAAAATGCAAATATTAATTATTCAATTCTGCACCAAATCAACATTACAAGCAGCATTACATGTAACCATTACAATGCTCTCAAACTGCCTATAGAAAGTTCTAGAATGTGCTGTTTTAATGGAAAAGTGATATTAGCAGAGCTCAGTATTTCAATGCTTTTGCAGCATTTACTTTCTAGCAAGGACAATGTTGCAAAGGACTTCTGTGACAAAATTTGACTTTATAATTCTGCATTCATCTTTACTTCTATTGGTGCCAGGTATGATCATGAACTTGCCAATACACAATCAGGTGTCTATACCTTTCATATTCAAGGTTCATTCTATTATCAAATTGGTTCTTTATTACTAGAATCAGATTCTGAACCACATTATTTGCAAATGTATATCTGAGATATTCAAAATAAACTGCATTATCGAGCCAATACTTTTTCCAGTTCTAACCTTAACCTATCTACTATCTAAGCTTTAAAGGATAGACTTAATAAAGTTAATCCATATGTTATTAATCTTTGAAATATTTTATACTTGTTTGCTGAAAATTTTAAAAATTTATCTATGCTAATCCATACCAATATTCCTAGGCTTGATCAAAGAACTCACAATGCTTCATCATCATCTGAAGTTGCAGCTATTTGAGTTAATAATGATGTACCCCTTGGTGCTATTAAGAAACATGATATTATATTATGCACCCATATGAATTAATTAGTTCATATTTCTGAGTTTAGTGAGTGCTATGATCCCTTAGCATATCTGCTATTGTTTCTTAATGATGAACAAGAATGGGCTCCTCGCCAAATTCCATATAGAGATATTCCCTTAACTAATGAGTTGATTGATATTGACGAAGGTCCTAATAATAATAGAAATGATGATGAATTAGAAAGTGATAATACAATAAAACATAGAAAATTTGTAACTGCAATGCAATATTATGCATATCGACTTCAAATTCACTATAATTCTTCCAATATGCTTCTGCAAATAGAATACTCTTCTAACAATATGTAGTCAATATGTATATTAAAATTGAATCTGATCACCTGAACTTTCACAGACAAAACCAAAATAAGATTTGAAGTGAACTATATAAAGGTCTTCAAGATGCTGTTTTGCATGATGATAGTGATCCAAGACAAGTTAGGCAGAGAATAGTACTTCCATTCACATTTATCAGAGATCATTGAGATATGATACAGCAATATCAGGATGCAATGGCCTTATTGCATATTGGAAGTCTGATTTATTCATTACTATGATGTGCAACCCAAATTGGCCTGAAATTTAAGCCCTAATGCTTCCTAAACAAAAATCTCAAGACCAACCAAACATCACAGATGCTTTTGATATATGTCTATTTTAATTGTTTGAGCTGTTGTTAAAAGAAATAAAGCAGATTGACTTTTTTTTTTAAAAAAAAAATAATAACTTTTATAACTTATAATTTATAAGTTATTTAATTGTTTTCAAAATGTCAATCTGCCTTATTTCTATTAACAGTAGCCTATTTTATTATGCCAATTCTTTTTTACTAATTTCTTTTTACTTCTGTAGCACAGATTTTTCATATGAAACTTCAGGAATTAAAGAAAAATCCTTTTGAATATAGGATCTTTGGATGTGCAATTGCATACATTTATACTATTGAATTCCAGAAGTGAGGCCTTCTATACACATACATTTTAGTTATTCTTTATTCAGAAGATAAACTAAGAACACCTGAAAACTATGATACCATTATCAGCACAGAGATATCTGATCCAACAGTTGATCCTATTACATATGCTATAGTTGCTTTTAGCATGCTTCATAGGCCATGCAAAGAGCTTAATCCTAATGCTCTATGCATGATTGATGATAATATGAGACACAAACGATGCGTAAAAGGATATTCTAAACAATTTCAAAGTGAGACCTTACAAGGAAAAGATTCATATCCTATATACTATCACTGACAAGATTATCATTAAGTTAAGATGAAAGTATAAAATCAAACAATTCTCTTGGATAACCAATAGGTTGTTCCTTATAATAGATTCTTTTGTGCAAAATATAATTGTTATACAAATGTAGAAATTTGTGCTAGTATTAAAGCGATAAAATATTTATTTAAGTATGTCTATAAGGGCCATGACAGAGCAATGATTGAAGTAACCAATAAGCATCAATATAATGTTCAACATCCATCAATTGTAATCGATGAGATCCAAAATTTTGTTGAAGCATGCTGGATATCAGCTCCAGAAGCTGTTGGGAGAATTCTAGAATTTAATATAAACAGAATAAATCCAGCTGTTACATGTTTACAGGTACATCTACATAACCAACAAAGAATTAATTTCGATAAAGATGATAATTTAGAAGAAGTTATTAAAGCTAACCGAAATCAGTGAACAACTCTTACCAAGTATTTCAAAATGAATATACAGGATCCAGATGCGAGAGAACTACTTTATGCTGATTTTCCTTTGCACTACACATGGAATAAGGCAACTAAGACATAGAAAAATGCCAGCATGGAAGTTGTATTAGGAGAATATACATGGCTCATTTGAGTGAAGGTTTGTCTTATTGTCACTTAATAAAAAATAAAAGAGAAGTTGCTTTAACCCAGATGAAAATAGAATTTTTCAAAATAAAATAAATAAAAATAAAAATAAATTTAATAAAATAAATTCAATAAAGAATAAAATTTAATAAAATAATTTTAATACTTACTATACAATAATCTCTATTTAGGTGAATGATACTATTTATGTTTACTTCTAACAAAAGTAAGAGGAGCTAAAAGCTTTGAAGAGCTCAAAATAGTTAATAGTATCACATGTGCTACTTTCAAAAAAAGTGCACAGCACAGAGGTTTTCTGAAAAATAATGATAAACATAGGTGATGCATGACTAAGGCAAGAGAATTTCAAATGTCTAAACAATTACATGATCTATTTGCAATATTATTAGCCTTTGGTAATATTACAAATATGCAACAACTATGAAATGAGAACTTTGATGCAATGGCAGAAGATTTTGCACACAGAGAAATTCCGGAAGGTCAACATCAAATTCAGGCAGTTCTTCAAAGTTTGAACATATTTTTACAAAGATATATGAAAACAGTAAATGACTATGACTTACCAAAATTGTCGCAAATGAATACTGCTGAATTACCAAAAACAATTCTGAAAGAATTGTCTTACCATATTACCCAAGAAGATCTTGATAAAGCAAATATATTAAATGAAGCTCAGCATGCAGTATTCAATAAAGTACTAGATCTTATAAATAAAGATGAAGGAGGTGTACTGTTTGTTGATGGCCTTGCTGAAAGTGGAAAAACATATCTCTACAAGTGTTTACTTGCTTATATATGTTTCAATCAGCAAATTGCATTGACAGTAGCCTCCTCAGATATTGCTGCAGTCCTTTTGCATGGTGGATGCACTGCACACTCTCGCTTCAAGATACCAATTACCATAACAAATAGAAACACAACCTGTAATATTAGAAAAGGAACTGACCTAGCAAGATTACTTAAAGAAGTTGTCTTGGTAATCTGAGATGAAGCTCCTATAACAAATCGCAATGCTTCTGAAGCTGTAAACAAAACATTAAAGAATATTATAAAAAATAATAATCTGTTTGGTGGGAAAATATTTCTATTTAGAGGAGATTTTTGACAAGTTTTGCCTATAGTTCCTAAAGGCATTAGAGTTCAAATAGTCAATGCTGCACTAAACAAGTCCCCTCTATGGCATCACGTTCAAGTCTTCTAGTTAGATGCTAATATGCAAGTTTCTCTTGCCAATAATAAGGAAAAAACTTTTGTAGAGTACTTACTCAGAATTGGCAATAGTACTGAGTCTACTATAGATAATAATCTGATTTGACTTTCTAATAAAATGATCATTCGTCTACAGAATTAAGAAGATTCCATTGACTCTTTAATAAATATTATATACTCTAATCTTACTAAAAAATCCTCAAACACTATCTTTATAACAGAAAGAGCAATACTAATACCATTAAATAGTGATGTTGACAAGATTAATGAGAAAATAATGGCTAAGTATTCTGGAGAACAACACATATACTATAGCTTTGACTCAGTACCAGAGGACAATCTAAATCTATTTTCAATTGAATATCTTAACTTTTTAATACCTCAAGGTCTTCCTCCATACGAGCTTATATTAAAGGTTGATGCTCCTATAATGTTACTTAGGAATTTAGACCCAGTTAATGAACTATGTAATAGGACAAAACTTATCTGTCAACAATTCTGAACACAAATAATAGATGCTAAAATAGCAACTGGAGATCATTAAGAAAAGCATGTATTTATTCTCAGAATTCCTCTTCTGCCCTCTGAAAATGCAGGCTTACCTTTTGCTCTAAAGTAAAAACAGTTTTCTATACAACTCGCATTTGCTTTGACCATCAACAAATCTCAAGAACAAACATTACCTTATATTGGTTTGTATCTTTCATAATCTGTTTTCTCTCATGAACAATTGTATATAGCTATGTCAAGAGTATATAAGGAGTCCAATCATAAAATTTTTGTCAAAAATAGTGAAATTCAAAGTAGAGATGGTATCTATATACAAAATGTTGTTTTTAGAGAAGCTTTAATATAATAAACTTCATCTTCTAAAAAAATGCAAAAAAATGATTAGTAACTAATCAAACATTAAAATAATTTCTAAAGGTATAAGAAAAACAGACAAAAAATCCTATTATTTGAATTTATATTTTATTGCTATATATTTATGTACTTATCTTGCTATGTTCACATATGAAATTTTAAGTTGCACCAATTAAAGGTAAGTGTAACAGATTAACTTAGAACATTTGCTATATTTGATCAAAAACACAATGATTGATGTATTGTTTTTGATTTTGAACAATATCCAGAATATAATTATAAATATTACCTTCATATGATATCTTCTACAAATAGTACTTGGTTTATTGCACAGTACTAGTGAGTATTATTTAATTTAAATAAAAGTGTTCTAATATTTACTTTTGAGTATAGATCACAAACTTATGACATTACCCAGTTATGTTCTATATAAAAAATTGGGTTATAAAATAAGACATAATTAACCTGTAACTAATGATATAAATAAGTCTGCACTATCTATACTTTTGAAATATTTATTGAATAAAGCACTAGGGCTATAAAAAAGCTTATTGGACTGGGTCCTTGAATCGACTAGACAGAGACTTTTTAGAACCGACTCAGAGTTGACTTCAGATAAAGTCTGAATGTAGAAGTCTGCATATCTTTTGTTCTGGGAATTAGTCATTTAATTGGCTAATTTATGCTAACTTATATATGATGATACATATTAGTAAATCACATATAATTGTTATTTATATGCAAACATATCAAAAATTGACTCAAAGATCAAGTTCTAATCAAAAAGTTTCTATTTAAGAAGTCTGAATAGACTTTTAATAGCACTATAAAGCATGAATATAAAGACATGCTAGTCTACTAGTTCTTATCTATTACTGACAGCTATCTTTTAAATTTTTTTTTATTATACAACTCTTGCATCTGTTAATTTTGATAGCTAGTTCATTTTTTTTACTTGCATTTGCTAATGTTCTATTAATATTTTTTTCTTTTTCTTTTTAACTATCTTTCTAACTGTTGATAATTTTGTGCACTATGTATTACTTATTTTTTTTTTTTTTATCTTCTAAAATATACTTTTATCTTATTTGTATTGCTTGGATATTTTATCTGTTTATTCTAAAATGTCTTTTAACTTCTCTGCTTTCTGGTCTACTAAGCATTTTTAGTTTTATTACTTTGAACCACTTTGCTTTTTTTTTCTTACTTAATAAATCTTAGTAACTTTTTAGCTATTGCAATATAATTAACTTCTCTGCTTTTGTATTAAGCAGCTAATTTAGATATATTAAATCTGTTTTGTTTATTCTAGTTCTATTTCTTTTCTATAACTGTATATTTATAAGTTCTTTTACTTTAGTTCTATATCTAAGTATTGTTTATAAGTACCTTCTGTTCTTATATTTATATTAAACTTTCTTGTTTTTAGTAATATTAAACAAGCTAAGTTACTTTTTTAAACTTTTATATCTTTTGGTATTTCTTCTATTTTTTATATATCTTCTGTTAAACCTGCTTTCTGACAACTTTGTATTATTCTTAATTTTGTTAATTATCTAAGATTGTCTAATCTGTTTAGTCTTGCTAATAAGTAAGAAACCTTTAAGCAAACTTCTTAAATAGGTAATATAAAAAAATTATATATATATATAACTAGTTGTATATTCTTTTTGTAATTATTTTTTATAAATAATATTGTCTACAAAAGTATAAATAAATTAAAAAATCAAAAAAGATTATTTTAATATCAAAAAATAAATAAAATAAATATACTTATAAAAAGATTTTTTAATTTTTTTTTTAAAATATTAAAATAAGTATTTGTAACTCAAAATTTTATTAATAATACATTCAACTAATAGTTATATTACAACTATATAAGACAATTATGAAAAGAATATACAACTAGTCACTTATACAACTTTAATTATTGTCTAATTTAAGTAATTTATTTGAAGGTTCTATATTAATTACTATATCTAAAATCTGCTTATAAGTTCTTTATTTAAATATTTTATATAATTTCTGTATTTACTTATTTACTTATATCTATTAATAATTTTTAAGATGAAAGTATAAATTAGTTTAAATTAAAAAAAATATAAGAATAAATTAATAAAAATTACAAAAAAAGTATAAAAAGATAATAATTTATCTTCAATAAAAATGTATATAGCAATTATCATTTTAATAACATAACTATCTTTTTTCTCAAATATAAATAAATACAATATTTTTAATATACAATCTTTTAAATATTAAAAAAATAAGAATATCTGCTTTTGATTGTACTAAATCTAGTAAATACAAAGAAGAGTTTTATACTGATGATGGCAAGCTTTTTTGTCACTTCTATAAAATTGTTATTGATTATGAACATAAATCAATTATTGATAACTATTATCATTCTAAAAAGCATCAAACACATATAGAAATTGAAAAAACTTTATCATCACAATTATAAAAAACTTGACAAACTATTATTATTTCTTGTTATAAATTGTTTAGTGAAAGCAAACAAATCAATTTGAATTTTTTATATGCTTTAACAGTTTCTGATATTTCTTTAAAAAAAGCAGAAAATTAAAATTATTTTTTTTAAATAAATATTATAAAGTTGGTTAGTATACTATTTTATTTTCAAATTATATATTTTATTAATTAATATATATATAATTAAATTAAATTAATAGCTGGTAGTATTGTTGGTCTTAATCAATTGTAGAAAAAATACCTTTCATTAGCTTTTGTACAAGAGCAAGAAAATTTGTAAAAAAAACTTGGACCAATATATTTTCATTACTATTGATAAAACATCAATATATAAAAGAAGTGCTATTAATGTATTATTTAGTTTTAAAAAAGAAACTAAACTTATTAAAACAAGTTATTTAAACCAAGTTAATGATTCTACAATTGTACAACTTACTATTAATATTTTGCAATTTTATAATATTATGTTCGAAAAAATTATACTTTTTATTTCTAATAATGCATTATATATAAAAAAAGCATATAGTATCCTTTTTCTATTATGTTCTTATTTAAAGCATAATAGATGTTTGATGCATATTTATAGTTTAGTTAAAAAAACTTGAACTAATTTTGAAAAATTTAAAGGATTAGATAATGTAATTATGAATTTAAAAGAAATTTTTATTTATTCTTATTCATATAAAAGAAGATGACTTGATTATTTAGTTTTAAATACTATAACAAGTTTAATATTTCTATCATTTGATAATAATAATTTTTTTAATTTAGAAAATATTATTAATATTATTCTTTCACCATTTTCTATAAAGACTAGATAAAATTTATTATTTAATTTTATTATTTGACTAGGCCTTTATATAGATTTTTTTTCTTCTTTTATTTCCAATGAAATTATTTTAATAGGTAATAAAATAAGCAAAACTTTTAAAAATTTAAATACATCATTTTAAGACAATGTACATAAGTTTTTTTTAAAGATACTTATTATGTTTATTACCTATAATGCACAACTGTAAATAATTAATATTATATATGTTATAATATATAGATTTGCTTATTATAATTATATATATTTATTTATATAATCATATATTTATTATATAATTTTTATTAGAATTATAAATAATTTAGAATTTTTCAAGATTCATAATAAACCTGTTGCAACATATGTTATATTCCAAATAGAACAAACACAATCATTTTTACAAGCAAGAATTATTGATCCACTATTAAATACTCAAATAAAAGATGAATTTGATACAAATAAAATTGATCCTGAAATTTATAAGATTATGTTCTGTAAAGTATTTCAATTGGCATTAAATAAGTTCAACAAACATATTAATATTCATTCAGTATTTGAACTTTTTTCTACAATTTAATTTTTTGATCCATGATGGATTTATTAACAAACTATAAAAAAAAATCTTTATTCATATTCAATTATTCAAGAATTTAGTAAGCCAAATAATCAGTTAATCCAAGAATAGAGAATTTATTGTGATAGTGAAAAGGTTTTTGAATTAGATTTTGATATTGAAAAATATTAGTTAAAAAAAATCTGTTTTTTATCTTGATTAAGCAAGTTAGCTTTAAAGTATATTTGGCTTCTAATTTCTGATATCGATGTAAAACACAGTTTTTCTGCATACAAAAATATTTTAAGTGACAAACAGCATTTTGAATTAGAAATTATATTCAGCTTAAATTATATAAAATTCATAAGCTATATAAATATTTAATTTG